TATCCTAGACATATTAAGTAGGCTATCTATATAGCCCTTTTATATAGACTTAAAGTAGACTAGCCTATTAAATAATATACCTAATAATTATACTAAGCTATAGCTTAATAGCCCCTAAGTAGTATACTATATAAATAAGAACTTCCTAAAGGTATAGCTTATAGTAATACCTATACTATATATAAGCCTTATTAGTATAAGCCTAGAATTTAAAGAGTAGCTATATTATAGATACTAAGAGGACCTAGTCTAGGCGTATATATAGGATACTATTATATATAATAATAAGTTAACTACTAATAATAAAGCTAAGCTCCTATTTAAGATTAAAGATAGGCTTCTATAGAAAGTAGTTATAGATTACCTAGATAAGCTATATATCCTATATACTATAGAATAAGATGTCTTTAAGGCTATCTATACTAGTAATTATATAGTATATAATAAGCTTAAACTAGTACTAAGGTAATACTATATATATAAAGGTAATAAGTATTTTTAAGAGTTCTTATAGTGTTATACTAAGTGCTAAGAATACTATAAGTAAGTATATATACTATATAGGAACTTATAGCTACTATTACTAGTACCTATACTATACTATTATATCTTAATTAACTTTATATTAGTACTACTACTCTTAGAATAAAGGTATATAGTAATACTAGTAGTAGTTTATAAATTTAGTAAGTTAGTACTAATAGCCCCCCTAAAGGATATATCTAATATAGTAAAGGTAGTATAAATCCTATTTAATACACTATTTAATAAAGGCTAAGGTATCTTTAAGATTATACTCTTAAATAAGGACCTAAAGTTTATAATAGTATTATAGTAGTATATATAGAAGTAAATATATATAAAGCTTATACACACTATAGTATACTACCTATAGATAGATAGCTAGATAGAATAAGTAATCTAGATAATATCCTTAGCTATCTAAGTCTATATTACTAGCTTAGAAAAACTAGTATAATAGAAATTAATTATACTATAGCTAATCTTTTAAATTAATAGTATATAATCTATATTAATAAAGCACTTACTATATAAAGTTATTAAGGGATTTAACCTTATAGATATACTAGACTACTTAATTAGTAGTATACTAGTAAAACTAAACTATAAGGCAGCTAGAATCTTAGTATATAACGCCTTTACTATTACTATAGTAATAATAAAGAACTACTATAACTAGTAGTATATAACTTACTTCTTTATAGTTAGTAATATAGTATATCTTAGACTATATAAGGAATATACTATAGCTAATAACCTAGGGCGTAAATTTAGGAAGCAATTTATAGGACCTTATTATATTATAAAGCATATTAGCTATACTATATACTAACTAGCACTACCCGCTATATTATACATCTAGCCAGTAATTTTAGTAAACCACTTAGAGCCAGTATATAGGCTACTAGTAGAATCTAATAAGCTACTAGCAGATATATAGATAGCTATTAAAGAGGCTAGCTATATAACTCTATAGGCTAGAGAACTATATAAGTATACTATAATACCTAAGCTATTATAGCTTTATATAAAGGATTATAAAATTATCTAAATAATAAATAAGAAGTATAAGGATAGTATATAATTTTTCTAAGTATAATATTATAATCTAAATAAAAGTTATAATAAGTAGTTATCTACTAGAGAGCTAGGTAAATATATAGTAATAGTATTAAAAGATTAGATATTAAATAAGCGCTATTTATTATTAGACTACCTAGTAATATAGCGTTTATAAAACCTCTCCCCCCCCCCTTAGCTTACTTACTACTTCCTTTATTTCTTAGTATTAATATTATTACTTTTCTTAGTAAATAGCTATTTCTTTCTATATTTTAATTTTTATTTCTTATCTATATATATAATAAGGTAAGCTTATTAGTAAAATATAATATAATAAGCTTATT